CTTCACATCGTCTGCAAACAGCTTCACATCGTCTGCAAACAGCTTCACATCGTCTGCAAACAGCTTCACATCGTCTGCAAACAGCTTCACATCGTCTGCAAACGGCTTCACATCGTCTGCAAACGGCTACACATCGTCTGCAAACAGATTCACATCGTCTGCAAACAGATTCACATCAGCTGCAAACGGCTTCACATCGTCTGAAAACAGCTTCACATCAGCTGCAAACGGCTTCACATCGTCTGCAAACAGATTCATGCAAAGGATTCACATCGTCTGCAAACAGCTTCACATCATCTGCAAACAGATTCATGCAAAGGATTCACATCGTCTGCAAACAGCTTCACATCGTCTGCAAACAGCTTCACATCAGCTGCAAACGGCTTCACATCAGCTGCAAACAGATTCATGCAAAGGATTCACATCGTCTGCAAACAGCTTCACATTGTTTGCAAACGGATTCACATCGCCTGCAAACAGCTTCACATTGTTTGCAAACGGCTTCACATCTTCTGCAAACAGCTTCACATTGTTTGCAAACGGATTCACATTGCCTGCAAACAGTTTCACATCGTCTGCAAACAGTTTCACATCGTCTGCAAACAGCTTCACATCGTCTGCAAACAGCTTCACATCTGCTGCAAACGGCTTCACATCATCTGCAAACAGATTCATGCAAAGGATTCACATCGTCTGCAAACAGCTTCACATTGTTTGCAAACGGATTCACATTGCCTACAAACAGTTTCACATCGTCTGCAAACAGATTCACATCGTCTGCAAACAGCTTCACATCGTCTGCAAACAGCTTCACATCAGCTGCAAACGGCTTCACATCATCTGCAAACAGATTCATGCAAAGGATTCACATCGTCTGCAAACAGCTTCACATTGCCTGCTAACAGAATACAGCCAAATGGGATCATGTAATCTGATGATGATCTAATCCAAAGAATAAAATCACCTTGGTTTAAAGTTTCAGCTTTAAACAAAAATATAAAAAAAAACATATGTAATCAGATGTTTTTTCCCGAAATGCCAGGTTTAGTAAAAATCTTTGACTGGTATCAGTAAATGAAACCACAGAGCAGCAGACCTACCTCTATAGCATTTCTTATTTCAAGAGACCTGGTCAGAGAAATAACTGCTGGGATGATGTTAAGAGCTCGGTATTCCATTAGAGCAGTGACAATGTCGTCCACGTCTTCTGTCCGCCCATTTGAAAAGAAAACCGCCACCTTCCTCAGCATTGTTCCAGCTCTCACACGTTTGAAGACGTTTTGCCCAACAAAGCGCATTGAAGCGCCTAAGTAGGGCTTGTTGGATGTCCTCTCCAAGGCGATGTTTTGCACTGCTTCTATCAGCTGAGTCTTCCTGCGGTAGTCCTGGAAGCGGATCAGGTATTTGGTGTGGGAGCTGAATCCCACCACAGCGACGCGGGCACCTCTCGGACAGTTGCTCTCTGCGATATGAATGTCTTCCAGCAGAGACAGGAGGGCAGAGCGCTGCCTGTCAAAGGCGGCTTGTGTCACAGCATCGGACATATCCAGGCCAAAGAGCAGCTCAGTGGGATATGCGGGGCAATCTGCTTGGCCTAAAAACCAGAGAAGAACAATGTGAGTTCAGCAGAACTGAAAGAAAGGGTTAAACATGAAGGATTTTTTTATCCATCATTTATTTCTTCCATAAAAATGTTAAAATTTTTATTTGAAGTAAACTTTTATTGATGTAAATGTTCTATGGTTTATTTATGCAGGTAAATAAACAAAAATGTAATAAAACCTGAATAAGATTACGCTCTAAACAGCTGGATTTATCTTGAGCAAACATATTGCAAACACAGCATTAGCATCCAGCAGAGCTGTTAAAGAACATTGAAGAAAGAAAAGTTGTTTCACCAGTCAGTGTTTCAAACATTTATGGATTTTCAACTATGAATCTGTTCTCATTGCATTTTTAAGGAATTCAAGGTAATAGAATAATTTTATTTCAATTCAAAAACTTTCGAAATTATTGTGGAAACTTTCAATCAACTTTGTTGAAAAATAATTATTTATATTTTTTTCCTTTGATTTTAGAAGGAAATTAAATGATTTATGCTTCATGTATTCCAAAACACTTTTTTTTTTCAAGTTTGAAGACGTTTTTCTTCCCATCCAGGAAACTTTTTCAATTCAAAATGTCAGAAAAAGCGTTGAATTCCAGGTTTTTATACATTAACCCAACAAAGCCTTGCAAACATGCAAATTGGACCTGAAGAATGGGTCCACCCCTTTGTAATAGGGGGTCGTTTTGTTTCTTTGTTAGCAAAAAAAACTGCCTATACCTCTGTAACGGGGGTCGTTAAAGGGAATTGTTGGCCTGGCTGAAGAGGCGAGGTGCTCTGTTTCCCTGTAATGGTGTTATTGTAATGGTTTGTTTTTTTTTTAAACCTTTTTGGAATGACTATGACCTGGATGACTGAGAATCTTCACCAGCACATGCTTCATGTAAGATTAAAAAAAAACAACTTTATTGTTTTTATCAAGTAGATAATATCTAATTATTTTATTTCTAGGGCAGGTAATCCTAATTCCATCTGCTGATTATCTGATTCGCCTCCTCATTTTTAGTTATTTTTAGTTTTTTTGCAGTGCATTTTGTTCTGTTGCCATGATTTTGCTTGACTTTTCCTCCTTATGTTCGCTTCCCTTAAATCTGTCAGGATTTGGTGTTGGATTGAGGACCCAAAAGCAGAGGCAAGTAGGCAGAGGTGAATTTAGGTGGGTTTAATGAGGTTCACAGGAACTGAGGCAGGAATCAAAAATCCAACAGAAATAACAACGAACCAGAACCAAGGAGACATCAGGGGAAAACCAAACTCTAGAAGCCAGGGAGAGACGAGGTAAACAGACAGACGTTAGACGAGGATCCAGCAAACAGGAACTGAAGAGGGAGGCTTTTAAAGGGGACAGAGACAAAGAGAGGGCTAACGAGGGGATTGAAAACAGGTGAGGGCAGAGCAGAAAACAGAGCAAGGGAAAGAGGACACAAGAGGGCAGCAGAGGACAACAAATGGAAAACCAAGACTGTGACAAAATCTGCCTGGAAAAAGTCCTGCAGGCCCAATAAGAACCTCACCATTTTCAGTCCATATTTGAATCGATCAGTAGTGGGAAGTTTCAAGCTCTTCTTTTGAGTTTTAATCAAAAACTCTTACTAAAACAATTCAGAAGTCTAGAGAGTCTTTCATTTTCTATTGGACTAAATAAGAACCTACAGGTAACTTTTATGCTTTATTCTAAAAACTGAACCGGTGTTCCATCAGACCAGCATACCCATAGTCAATACGCATGCGCAGTAAGTCCAATTTGCATACGTCTGACACTTTAAGTGGAAGGAAGTCTACTTCGCTACTTTATTGATGCGTGATATGATAAACAAAAGGTTTTAGTCCAAGTTAACAGAATTTAAGCTAAACTGCTGTAAACACATATTATTTTAGCTACTTCGCACCCTGACGTAGCAGCTAACCTGTCAGATTGTCATACAACGATTATGTGTATGCTGATCTTGACAGACTGATTTGCAAATGTAACAGAACAGCGGTCAGACATGTCTGACTGGTAAAGCACAGATGTTGCAGTGAGGCTGTGAGTCTCCCTCTTCCTCTGAGGTCTGGAGGGACCTGCATGGTGCCAGCAGCAGGTCTTTGATGGAGTGGAGATACGTACCGATGGAGCAAGCTGTGAGGACAGATGAGACAGTTCAGAGTGAGCTGCAGGTTTGATCTGATGATGCTTTTTAGGAAACCTTGGAGGAGCTGTGAACTCACCACAGTTGTCTCTGATGTAGGTGACCAGCTGACACTCCTGACAGAGCAGATGAGTGTTAATAAAGGCTTAACAGAGACGGTGAGAACATTTCTCACATGGACTTACCGTCATAGGACTGGTTCCAGGAGGACCTCTGGGACCCTGAGGAGAATCGAACAGATAATCATGACTTGTTTCTCTATTTGACAGAATGTTTCTGCTTCAGTCGGCCACATTTCCTGAACTCTTCTGAACCCCAGAACTCGTTTAGCTGTAATACTATGGATCCAAATCATCAACCCTCCCCCACCATACTTTACTGCTGTCATGGTGCGTTCAGGCTGATCAGCTGGTTCCGGTTTCCTCCATCATGGTTACATTTCTCTAAGCTGGTCTCCTCTGTCCAGAGGACTTTGTCCCTGAAATCTCCTTCATTCAGATGCAGCTTTGCTAAGATCCTAAAACCATCTTGGTGCTAGAAAAAGGAGGACTTCAACCCTTCCTATCATAGATATAATATAAGAGTAGACCCCGCATCGATTGGTTTTATCTATCGCCGCTGACGGGATTTGGTGGTGCAATCTTGGGCAGCTCCACTGTGCAATGTGTGAGCAGGAAGAGAATTAATTTTAATAAACTTTAACTCGCTGAATATTGAACTAATTTTCACAGCTTTTTTTTATTTAACTGAAAACAAACAAATGGTTAATTTTTTTAAATATCTTAGTGGGGTTAAGAATCATAGAATATTCTATTATATATATATATATATATATATATATATATATATATATATATATATGTGTGTGTATTAGTGTTGCGCCGATGCCATTTTTTGGCCCCGATACCGATACCCGATACCTGGCTGTGCAGTATCGGCCGATACCGATACCATAATAATGTAAAATGATTGCCGTCATGGCTTTGTCAAGCTGCTGCCTACCTTTGTGAATACAAAGTGAATCCAGTAGAACTTTTTATTAAAAAGTTCTACTGGATAATAAAAATAAAAAGTTTTTATTGCCTAGGTGTACCTGGAATGGGTAACAATAGTTGAATAAACTTATGGCTCTCAAAATGGTATCTGTGCCCTATTTGTTGGTACTCGCCGATACCGATACCACCATTTTAGGGCAGTATCGGGGCCCCGTCCGATACTGGTATCGGTGCAACACTAATATATATACATATTTCAGAGTTGCAACATGTCTGGAGCCGAGAAGCACAAGGTGCTCAATCCTCAGGGACCTGGCCAAGGTAAGGAAAGCTGAAAAAAGGCCACCTTTGAACAAGACACAAGAGACAAAACGTCAAGATTGGGCCAAAAAATCTCTGCAGACTGATTCCTCCAAGGTGTTTTGGTCTGATGGAATGAGAGAGAGCCTAGATGGTCCAGATGGATGGATGGGCACCAGGCTGGATCAGTAAAGGGCAGCAAGTTCCTTATCCACTCAGACGCCAGCAAGGTGGAGGTGGGGTAATGCTATGGGCTGCTATCATCAAAGATGAGCCTGTGGGACCTTTTCGGGTTGATGATGGAGTCTAGATCAACTCCCAGACCTACTGCCAGTTTCTGGGAGACATCTTCTTCAAACAGCGGTACAAGAAGACGTCGCCATCATTCAAGAGAAACCTGATATTCCTGCAGGATGATGCTCCGTCACACGCATCTAAATACACCACAGCGTGGCGGCCAGAAAAGGTCTAAAAGGAGAAAAAATAATGACATGGCCGCCTTGGTCACCTGATCTGAACCCCATGGAGAACCTGTGGTCCTTCATGAAAGGGGAGATCTACAGGGGGGGAAAACAGGGAGGCTGTGGAGGCTGCTGCACGCCATGAGGATCAAAAACAGATCAAGACTCTGACAGAATCTATGGATGGAAGGATTTAGAGCGTCATGGTGGAGAAAGGAGGATATACTGGTCACGGATTTTTGTTTTTTTGTTTTTGAATGTCGCAAATGTTTATTTCTGAATTTTTAGTTGTCATATTGGTTTACCTGGTGAAAATAAACAAGTAAGATGGGTATAAATTTGTTTTTTATTACATTGCCTAATAATTCTGCGCAGTAATATTTACCTCATAAAATGGCCAAAAAACATTAACTTCCAAATCTATGAAACTTCGATATTAATGAGACTTTTAGGTTGAATAGAACACAATTATGGCCCAATAATAAAAATAGTCCTCAAAAATACAACTCGCCTAATAATTCTGCACACAGTGTGTATATATGATCTATTATTCAGATGCACAGTATTTATATTTGTAAAAACACTGTACAGTACAGTATTTTGTTTGTTTTTTATATGTATTAATTAATATTTTACCTTTATGTGAATGTTATTTTTACCCATGTTTTAGCAGTTTTGTTGTTTATACTGTTTTATATTGGATTTATTTTATTTTTTTTCCTTACAGCACTTTGGTCAGCTGTGGTTGTTTTTCAGTGCTTAACAAATAAAATTGGATTGGATTTTTTTTTTACTCTGTCAGTAATATCTGCTGTTTATTTACTAATTTCTTCCAAAGCTCTGATGTCTTCACAAAGTTCTCCCTCGAACCCTGATGTCAACAGCCTGTTGATTTCAACAAAAATACGCTGCAGTGCTGAAGCATCCTTCTGTTCTGCTTAAACCAGCTGGTTAGAGTAGCAGGTCGACCTCTCCAAGATGGCGCCACGTCAGTCAAAGCGAGGTCTACTCTTTATGTCTATGCTTCCTACATTCAGAATGGGTTAAGGTTATAACCTTTAACCTTTGAGCTTTGGTAACTGAGGGCTGCGACCAACTGAAATAAAACATTTTTTATTTTTTTTTGACTTTCCAGGTTCTGGATCCTCTCTGCAGGACGTCCTGCCTGTCAGCTCAGCTGGACCTTCATGTCAGACGGAACCGTCTCTAACTCATCAGAAAGTTCAGGAGGGTAAAAGTTAACCCCACACTCACTCTGTGTCCTGGGTATCCCGGTTCTCCAAACATTCCAGATTCTCCCGGTCGGCCCGAGTTCCCCTGCATCAATCCAAACACACATCACAGACATCCCAGCAGAGGGAAAAAACTTATTCTGGTCCTGATGGGACAGAACTCACCGGTCGACCTCGGTTCCCTCTGCGTCCAGGGTCTCCTTTGGGCCCCTGCAGCCCGTCTTCCCCCTGCAGAGCAGAAGCCGCCGGTTTATCATCAGAACAATAAATTGAAGACATCAGAACAAAGAGCCAATCATCACGAGCCGTCCTGAGGAACATCAGGAAGGGGAACCCAACAACGATCCATAGATCCAAGGAGAGGTTCTCTTCCAAAAACAGATAAATAGCAGAACCTGTCCTGGAACATAATCTATAATCTGGGTTTCTTTCTGTCAAAATTTCATGGTTGGCACTA